CATTTTTTATTAATCAATTTTGCTTTTATTTTCTATTCAATGATCGGATCACTGATTAAAGTTCTACAGGGGATCATCGATATCACAACTGCAGGGGCGGGAGCCGGACATCGACAAAATTCCATAGAGTATGGCTCGAAGGTCTTCCACTCCGCTCCCCTCCGCTCCAGCCCAAAAAAGCTAAAAAAAATGTACCACAAAAAATTATAAAATTTTGTATTAAAATAGACCCCAAAATCAGCATCAGCCGTGACAATAATTATAATATGAAAGGGTGAAATCCGCGCAGTGATAACTTTCTTGATGCAGATCTATACTTAATTAGGGTTAGTTACTATTTTAGATAGCATCAATAATGTAGCTATTTCTGCTCGGGTTTCACCCTGTCGTATTATAATTGTTTTTTTTAAAAAAAAATTTTAAATTCTATATTTAAGTTTAAAATCAAATTTACAAATTTTATATGGTTTACATATGAAATTTTGAATTATAAATTTCATAATTTAAAAAAAAATCAATACAATTTGTTCAGCCTGATGAAACTCATATATTATAGAGTACAAATATTGAAATTACTAATCATATTAAATAAAGTTTTTTTTTAATAAAAAAAGTATTAACTTTTATGTATTAGATAAATTTCAATTTTTTATATGGTTTACTATAAAAAACTATCGGGCGGCCTACTGTACGTACGTACACGTACAAAATACAAAATTTTAATGTTTTTCTTCAGTGCGCAGAAAATGGTTACAGCAGGATGCATGATTTTTCACGTTACACCTGGCAATCTTACCCAAACTACTTGGAACGTCCCAGACTGTGATAAATAGTATCACGCTGTTTCAATAATAGCCAAAAAGCAGGGTTGGCAATGGAGTCCAATGGAGTTGTGAATAGAACCAATGGAGCTCTGAATGGAGCTAATGGATACTAGTTTTTTGAGCTCCATTTGCACAACCATTGAGATCCATTGGCTCCATTGCCAACCATGCCAATAAGGTATCATTATATTATAGAAAATTTTATATATTAAGCTTATAAAACTTAACTATTAAAATAATCAAAATCACTTTTTGTTTTAGAAAAGTTAGTACTGTAGTATAATGACAACTTTCAAAAAAGATAAAATTAGGTTATTACCATGCTAATTTCTTTAAAACAAAAGGGATTTTGATTATTTTCTATAGTAGAGTTCTACAACTTTGATAATATTTTCTACATACTATATTTTATTTATTTAAAACTGTATAAATAATACAGTAATAAACTTAAACAGTCAATCATATGAAAGTCTCCTATGAGTAAATACCTAATTTGGGGAACGTTAAAGCCAGGTACGCTAGAATTACCTTTTTGATGCAGTTTTTGATGCAGTAATAGTTGGTGGTTTGTAAAAGATAATTTATGCAGCACGTATATCATTTCCTAATTTGTAGATCTATGTCTATCAGTGGTCCGCGATTATACGTACGTACTATATCATATAAATTTTTAAAGACCAAATATATGTAAATTTGGGGTTGATATTTTCAACCAACCTGAACCGAATTTTTTTTGGATTGGGTTAGCTATAACCTAATCCGGATCCAACCTGTTCGGAGCACTAGAAGCACAGCTGTTGATTTCTATTCACAAGTGGGATCCTTTTTTTTGATCCTGTGGCTTAGACTCTATAATTTAATTACTATATGGAATTTACTGTTCTATTGGATCTATGACCTCATTTCAGGGATGATGACAGAGATGATGATTTCGATACAATGGATTTTACCTATGCATTGTATAATCGTCCATTATTTTCATTATTATAATAAAAAAGCATATTCTACGGAGACTGTAAATTATTTCATAGAATCTCTGGAAGATATATAAATATTCATTACTCTGACTGATCACTCAATTCTCTAACTTTCCACTAGTCTGGTAGTTACAATGTCTTGCGATAAACGTATTTAACTGACACTACGCTATTTAATATTGCGTTATCAGTCCTCCGACAACACATCGTATTATATTTAAATGTCAAATAAAAACTGGAATCGTTAAATTTTCAATGCTACATTTTTAATACTGTCTGCATTTTTTTTCACATTGGATTGCAATTCTATTTATGGTATTATGGTATTTGTTTCAAAGCATGGCTTACGAAGACAGCAATTTTGTTAAATTTTCTGATCACTGCGGTTACTGTAGTGACTGACAGCCAAAAAAGGAAATGGAAAATGAGTGCAGTAATAACGGTGAAAAAGCACATAAATTCAAGCATTTAAGTCGACTAAAGTCGAAACAGTTTCTTTTTTCTAAAATTTAATATTTTTAACGTACACTTCAACTTGGAAAAATGCGAAATAAAAGACTTTGCAAATGGCTTCGTTCTGGTGTCGTCAAGAAGAATATCAAAAACACTCTTGACTGTACCATTGATACGTTATATGAAATGTGTCACTTAAAGAACGTCACCCGTGAGAACATATCAAGTAGCCTTGAGAACATTCTTCTCAACGATATGACCTTTAGAAACCAGCACATGACCTTGTATAACTGGTTTCAAAGCCATCGTGAACAAAATAAAACAAAATCAAAACCATTTGCGGTATTTAGAAAAACTCGTGTTTATTCATCCGCCTTCGGGTCTCACATTAACTATAATGTTACAAGTTCATCTGACAACAGTACCGGAGATGCCATTAACATTGAAAATGAATCTTCTATCAATATTTCAACCACACCCGGACAAATTGAAGATACACGTGATTCCTCCCCGCCACCTGTGAGGCGGATATATTCTTTTACCGGACCGGAACAAGGTGCGATTGTGGAGACTTTTTTAACACTAGCGGAAAAGGCATTGTACAATTTTCTCATAAGGCATGAAGGAAAAATTTCGGAAAAAGTTGTAAGAGACTTCGCCGCAAGCCAAATTCCGCCAATTAATAAAGATTTTCGAGATGCGGATGTGTTGTGCATGTTAAAGTTCATCATTCAGAACATCAAACTTTTTTTAAAGGAATCTGCATTCCATGGACTTAACAAGACAAACCCAATAGAACTTCTGGATGAATTTAAAAAAAAGGTTCGTAATAAGAACGCGCACGGTGTTGTTGAAAATGATAAAGGGCGGTGGTGTGACCTTGATCTGCAACGTGTAGTCCAGCTTACATGTGAAGTGGCAGCTTGTCTCGGAAATAATTATAAAGAAGCGTACACCGCGAAAGAAAAATTTGACAAAGAAATTCATCATCGATGGAGAAACGAAATTACAGAAAATAATTCTTATGAATCATTAAATTTTCTTTCAGACCTAAAAAACATTGGTACCTCTTTAGATAATAAAAATTCTGAAGGTTCTAAGACATTAAAGAGAAAATTAGGCGAAACCGACTTAGATGAGATGACGGATTTCATTTTAATTGTATTAAACAAAGTGAAAGAAAGGGATGCGGGTGAAAAGCAAAAAATTTTGCAGTTGTCACTAGAGGAGAACGAGCCATTAATCAAAATCTGGAGAACAGCATTAATCAAAAAAAATGAATCTGATCAAATAAATAAATTCATTTCACTTGTAAATTCAATGTTTAATACAGTAAGTATTCAACCTTAATTCTTTTTTTCTTAATATATATTTTGCAACTAATGAATTTTATTGTAATTTATTCTAGAATTTAAGCCTAGATACTAAAGTTGCCGGCTGTAAATAATAATTACGGACATTACCTAGGTTGCAACCCCAATTACAACTCGGGTGCATCTATTTACCCAACAGCTTCATTGACGATCCATGCATGCCCGGCCAATCAGCGTCGATCACGGGATAGAATTCTACTTAACTTGATCGACTAATTAACTAAGACTTAACTAAGACGTAAAAAAAACAAACATGCTTTATTTAGAGGTCATCAATTTTTTCGTATGCAGTTTATTATTTGTAATGCTGTTTGTACATTTTTCTTTACTTTCATTTTTTCACTTTCGTGACGCTATCTGTATTTTTTTTCTCATTTTGTGATCTTATAGCTTTTCAATTTTTTGGAGATTTGTTTTTTTTTTTTTTCTTTTACTTTTATGCCTTTTTACTTTCGTGATATTATCCATATTTTATTCTTTATTCGTGATGCTATCAGTACTTTTTTTCTCACTTTTGTGATTCTAGTTGTAGTTTTTTTCGTGACCTTAGTTGCATTTTTCACTTTCATGATTTTTGTTGGATTTTTTTTTTTTTACTTTTGTGATTATTTTCACCCGCGAAATTGTAATCTGTGCTCGGTTTGTGGTCACATGACGACGATCGGGTAACATTCAATGAACATACGTAAACATATGCATGCATGGTAACACAACCTCTGTTTCAAAAAAAAATTAAAAGTTCTATGCATATATTAGGGCCGATAGTATTAATTTGGGACCGTTATGATGCTTTGGGATTTTGATTAAATATTGATTATTTATTGGACTGTAGACGCTCTATTCTTAGTATAGTTTTTATTGCGTACTAGTCACAATTCTCAATCAAATTTAATTTTATCCTAAATGATTAAACTTTGATTTTTATGCTTAAACAATTGTCCCCGAAGCAGCATAACGGTAAAGACTGACCCATTTGATAAATGTTGACATACGCAATGTATAGGTCAGATCCATTTTCTAAAAATAAATTTTGATCCGGTTACATTAAAAGCTGGTTTGAATTGTTTTAAATCGGTATTTTTATTTTTACTTTCGATATCTTATTGTTATCCCAAAAATGTACATTTCAGTTTTACTCAGAAATAATTTATTTATAATTTAATATTAAACTTTAAATTAGTTGAATGTTTCTATATAGTTTCATTTAATAAAAACTAGTTGCAATAATATGTAATTCGATCCTTGATTTACAACTGGTTCCGATTCTTAGTGCAAAAGCGAATTGAAATAAAATAATATATTAAAATGAAACAGTAAAAAAAAGTTTCGAATCTGAAAAAAAATAAGGTTTTTATATATTACAGAGTTCAGTATACAGTATCCGGTATCCAAAACATTTAATACAATCTATCATATAAACGAAAACTCCCATGCTTCGACAGTAAAATTATAAAGTTTCACGAAAATAACACTTATATCTTCTTCATCGTCTTTGGTCTCCCGTTTGAAACATATATTACTTTGATGATCGAACTCATATTTATATATATAGCTATTTATAAATGCTGGAAAAGTCAAATCTTCTGATTCGGCTCCAAGTTTGGTCATAAAGTGGCCAATTTTCACTCCCTTTCACGGATGCTATAAACCTGATTTTATTATCATTGAGAGATTCAGTGTAGATTTATTTATTTTATTTATTATTTTTTTAAAACAAAAAGTATATTATGAAAATTCACACCTTTGAGTGCTAATATAGCATTTTACAGTATAATATACAGTCGGACCTCCCTATAATCACACCCCATATAGTCACGCCTCTATTCAAGCACCTAATTTTGTGCGACGGACTTAAAATATAGTAAAAAAACCTCATTATAGTCACAAATCACTTATAATCACTATCACCTTAAAATCTAATTTTTAAGTCAAATTTATTAATAAAAAACCTCCTTATAATCACTAATTTATTAATTAAAAGGTTTTTTGACTAAGTTAATCACCTTTGAGTTTCTAAATAAAGTTGTAGAGCTCATTAAGACGAATCCAATGATGTCTTTATAATCACTAATTTATTAATTAAAAAGTTTTTTTGACTAAGTTAATCATCTTTGAGTTTCTAAGTAAAGCTGTAGAGCTCATTAAGATGAATCCAATGGTGGTTAAATTATCAAAATCAGCCTAGTGGTTGCTAAGATATCTTCGAAAAATGTTTCACTGACTATATAAACAATATAAAGAATTTTTCTATAGTTGGCAAAATGTTTCAATTAGATGTAGGACAATCATGACTAATGAATTACCAATTAATCATTAATTGGCTGAAGATCACATGATATTAATCTAATATTTGTTTATAGTCACACCTCTATACAATCACCAAAATAGGGTGCAATGGACTTGGTGATTATAGGGAGGTCTAACTGTAGAAGTACTCAAAGACAAACAAGACTAAAACAACACATAGTAAATGCTGGCCATTCAATAAGTGCCATTCTTGATTCATATTATATTATAATTTTTTAATACAGTATGTATGCATATCGATGTTGTGCCTCAAATCGATTCTTGCCTCAGGTGATAACTGAGGCACCTCAGATGTTGATCATCATATGAGATGCGTAACCTGTTGATTGATTACTTGAGGTGCTTCTGTTGTCACCTGATGCACCTTGGTTATAATCTGAGGCAATTAATATTTCGATTAAATAATGATTGCAATAACAATAAACAATATATAGCAAATTTAATCAAATCATCAATTCAATGCAAGCTATAACTAATTTAATACTTATTTAAACATGAATACCCACTGTGACATCTATTTGTATATTTTCTACCATATTTTTTACATTTATATTTATTATTATTACAAGGACCTTTACAATTACATATAATACTCGATATGGATCCAACACTTTGAAGTCTTGCTGCTTCTCGAATAGACAATTTATCTGATAGGATCTTGTCGAGTTCAGGATAGATAGTAGTACCAAGTGCTTCGAGTTTGTCTGATGAATAACAAACATTAAGTATACCAAATTTACATCCTAAGCGATATTGCTCTCCAACTTTTTCTATTATCTTGCAGGGGAGTGTGGGGCGATCGGTGCCAAATCGATCAATTTTTGAAACACTAACGCGAACCAAATCACCAACTTTAAAATCATCTAATTTTCTTTTTTTAAGCATCCGTTTGGTCATATTTTCTGTATAAAGTTGTAGGTCCTGTCGTGCTGTATTTTATAACACTTTATACCGTGTAATATTAGAATGCTGGTCTGTAATATCAGCAAGAACTGGGTTTTGTTCTGATTGTAGGTATTCTAACCAAGATTCAACGAATTCAGATCAATAATAAACAAACAAAATAAAGGAAAAACTACAATAAAAAGAAATTTACCAGTATTACTACCATCACTATCATCCTGGTACAATTGTTTAGGGCTTTTGCCTGAATTGAAAATTAAAATCAGTGAAGTACAAGAAATAAAATAAAATCTATAATTAAGATAAAGACTTATCTGTATTACTACCATCACCATCCTGGTACAATTGTTCAGGGCTTTTGTCTAAATTGAAAATTAAAATTAATCAAATACAAATAAAAAAAAAAATCCACAATTAAGATTAAGACTTACCCGTATTACTACTACCACCATCCCAGTACGATTGTTCTGGGGTTTTGCCTAAATCGAAAATTAAAATCAATGAAATACAAATAAAAAAAAAGATCTACAATTAAGATTTAAGACTTACCCGTATTACTACCACTGCCATTCTGGTACAATTGTTTAGGGCTTTTGCCTGAATCAAAAATTAAAATAAATGAAATACAAGATAAAAAAAAACCACAATTAAGATGAAGACTTATCTATATTACTACCCCTGCAATCCTGGTTCAATTGTTTAGAGCTTTTGTCTGAATCAAGAATTAAAATCAATGAAATACAAGAATAAAAAAAAAAAAATCCACAATTAAGATGAAGACTTACCTGAATTACTACCATTACCGTTATCCCGGTATAATTGTTCAAGGCTTTTAACTCTATTATTAATATTTCCATACCGGTACAATTGTTCAGGGCTTTCGACCATGCTATTATTACTGCTATTCCAATACAATTGTTTAGGGCTTTTGCCCCCAATATTACTACTGCTATCCTGGTACAATTGTTCAGAGCTTTTGCCCCCAATATTACTACTGCTGCCATTCCAGTACAATTGTTCAGAGCTGTTGCCCCTATTATTACTAGCTCTGCCATCCCGGTACAATTGTTCAAGGCTTTTTTTGCCTGAATTAGGAATTAAAGTTAATATAGTATAAAAAATAAAGAAAAATAAGTAAAAACTCACCCGCATTACTACCACTGCTATAATTCAGATACAGTTGTCTGTGGCTTTTGTTTAAATCGAGAATTAAATTAAATTAAATTAAAAAAAAAAAGCTTAAATATCCAAAAAGAAGCTTACCCACATCATTACTGCCATGGTACTACTGTTTAGAATGTTTTCCTGAAATAAAAAGTAGAAAATTAATATAACCTAAAAAATTAAAATCATAACAAATAAAAA